GTCCCCAAGGCTGGATCCTGCAGGTGGTGCTCAAGGTGTCCCTTAGTGTCCCCCCCCCACCCCCCCATCAGTGCCCCCTTGGGGTCTATAGGTGTCCCCTGGGTGCTGTGGCACCTATGGGTGTCCCTCAGTGTCCCTTTGGTGCCATCAGACCCACGGGTGTCCTTACTGTCCCCTGGGGCCTATGAGTGTCCCCTCGGTGCCATGGCACCTATAGGTGTCCCTTGGGTGCCATCAGTCCCACGGGTGTCCCTCAGTGTCCCCTGGGTCCTATAGGTGTCCCCTTGGTGCCATCAGACTCACGGGTGTCCCTCGGTGTCCCCTGGGACCCATGGGTGTCCCCTGGATGCCATAGAACCTATGGGTGTCCCTTGATGTCCCCTGGGGCCCCTGAGTGTCCCTTGGGTGACATGGGTGCCCCTCAGTGTCCCTTAGCGTCCCCTGGGGTCTATAGTTGTCCCTTGGGTGCTGTGGCACCTATGGGTGTCCCTCAGTGTCCCCTGGGGTCTATAGGTGTCCCTTGGGTGCCATGGCACCTATGGGTGTCCCTTGATGCCCCCTTAGTGCCATCAGACTTATGGGTGTCCCTTAGTGTCCCCTGGGACCTGTGAGTGTCCCTTAGGTGACATGGCACCTATGGGTGTCCCTCAGTGTCCCCTGGGTTCTATATGTGTCCACTGGGTGCCGTGGCACCTATGGGTGTCCCTCAGTGTCCTCTGGGACCTATGGTTGTCCCTTGGGTGCCATGGCACCCATGGGTGTCCCTTGATAGCCCCTTAGTGCCATCAGAGTTATGGGTGTCCCTTAGTGTCCCCTGGGACCTATAGGTGCCCCTTGGGTGCCATGGGACCTATGGGTGTCCCTTAGTGTCCCCTGGGGTCTATAGGTGTCCCTTGGGTGCCATCAGACCCACGGGTGTCCTTACTGTCCCCTGGGGCCTATAGGTGTCCCCTGGGTGCCATGGCACCTATGGGTGTCCCTTGATGCCCCCTTAGTGTCCCCTGGGACCTGAGTGTCCCTTGTGTGACATGGCACCTATGGGTGTCCCTCGGTGTCCCCTGGGACCTATAGGTGTCCCTTGGGTGCCATCAGACCCACGGGTGTCCCTCGGTGTCCCCTGAGACCCATGGGTGTCCCCTGGGTGCTGTGGCACCTATGGGTGTCCCTCAGTGTCCCCTGGGACCCATGGGTGTCCCCTGGATGCCATAGAACCTATGTGTGTCCCTTGATGTCCCCTGGGGCCCCTGAGTGTCCCTTGGGTGACATGGGTGCCCCTCAGTGTCCCCTGGGGTCTATAGTTGTCCTTTGGGTGCCATGGCACCTATGGGTGTCCCTTAGTGTCCCCTTGGTGTCATCAGACCTATGGGTGTCCCTTGATGTCCCCTGGGGCCCCTGAGTGTCCCTTGTGTGACATGGCACCTATGGGTGTCCCTCAGTGTCCCCTGGGTCCTATAGGTGTCCCCTTGGTGCCATCAGACCCACAGGTGTCCCTCAGTGTCCCCTGAGACCCATGGGTGTCCCCTGGGTGCCATGGCATCTATGGGTGTCCCTCAGTGTCCCCTTGGTGCCATCAGACCCATGGGTGTCCCTCAGTGTCCCTTGGGACCTATAGGTGTCCCTTGTGTGACATGGCACCTATGGGTGTCCCTCAGTGCCCCCTGGGTGCTGTGGGGCCCATGGATGTCCCTTAGTGTCCCCTCATTGTCCCCTGGGTGCTGTGGGGCCCATGGATGTCCCTTGGGACCCTATGTGTGTCCCTGAAGGGTCCCCTGGGTGTCCCTTATTGTCCTTTGGGTGCCACGCGGATTATGGATGTCCCTCCCTGTCCCCAGGGTCCTATGGGTGTCCCTCTGTGTCCCAGGGTCCCCACAGGTGTCCCTCGGGGTCCTTTGGGTGCCACAGCACCTATGGATGTCCCTGGATGCCATAAGTGCCCCTCGGTGTCCCCGTAGGTCCCATAAGGGTCATCTGGGTGCCACGGGTGTCCCTTGGGTGCCCTGTGGGATCCCAAAGGGGCCCATGGATGTCCCTTACCGTCCCCTGCGTGTCCCTCATTGTCCCCCTGGTGCCACTTAGGGATGTCCCTAAGGGTTCCCTGCGTCCCACGGGTGCCCCATGGGTGCTGTGGGGCCGGTGGGCGTCCCTGTCCCTCGGTGCCTCCTGGGTCCCCTCACCGTGTCCTCAGTGTCCCCCTGGGTGGCCCCGAGGGTCCCTTAGGTACCCCCCCACAATCCGACGTCCCCGACGTCCCCCCAATGTCCCCAAAGTTCCCCCACGTCCCCGTGGGTCTCGGTGCCTCCGGTGTCCCCCACGTCCCCGAAGTCCCCCGTAGGGTCACGGTGCCGTGGGTGCCCCCTCGGTTTCGCTGTCGCTGCTGTCCCCCATGTCCCCGAGGTCCCCGAGGTCTCCGATGTCCCCGTGGGGCAGAGCAAAGGGTGGCAGCTCCTCGTCGGAGGAACCCAACGAGTCCTCGTCCCCAAGGCGCGTCCCCAGCCCCACCGCCCCGAAGGACAACGGACCCCGCAGCAGCCGGATCTGCGGGGACAGAGGGGTGGGGACAGGGGGACAGGATGGGGACAGGGATGGGGGACAGTGGGGTGGTGACAGGATGGGGACAGGGAGACAGGAATGAGGACAGGGATGGGGACAGGGATGGGGGACAGTGGGGTGGGGACAGGGATGAGCACAGGGACAGAGATGGGGGACAAGTGAACAGTGGGGACAAAGGGATATGGGATGGGGACAATGAAAGGAGGATGGGACAGGGAATGGGGACAGGGGACAAGGAAGGAGGGGTGGGGACAACGGGACATGGGAACGGGGACAAGGGGACAGGAAAGAAGGGATGGGGACGTGGTGACGTGAGATGGGGACAATGAAGAGGGGATGGGACAGGGAATGGGGACGGGGGACAAGGGAAGAGGGGACAAGGGGACATGGGGACAATGGAAAAGGGGTGGGATGAGGAATGGGGACGGGGACAAGGAGGAGAGGGATGGGGACATGGGGATGGGGACAAGATGGGACAGAGGAGAAGGGGACAAGGATTTGGGGGAGGGGGGGAGGTGACAGAGGAACAAAGGGACAGAGGGACAAAGGGACAGAGGGACAAAGGGACAGAGGGACAAAGCAGGGGACGGGGGAAGGGAGAGCAGAGAAAGGGAGGAGGGATGAGAGACATGGAGGCGTGGTCAGCAGCTGTCCCTGCACCCACCGGGAACCCACAGCACGACAGGGGACACAGGTGGCACCCATGGGTGCGGGACGTGGGCACCCCAACACCCCGTGGGTGCTGTAGGACACATATCCTGCAGTTAAGGGTGTTGGGAGACCAGTATCCCGCACCCATGGGTGCTACAGGCCCCTGGTCCAGCACTTGTGGGTGCTGAGGTCCCTATATCCTGCACCCGTGGGTGCTGAGGGACCCTTAACCATAGCTATGGGTGCTGAGGTCCCTGTATCCTGCACCCATGGGTGCTGAGGTCCCTATATCCTGCACCCACAGGTGCTGCGAGACTTATATCCTGCACCCATGGGTGCTGAGGTCCCCATATCCTGCACCCATTGGGTACTACAGCACCCTGGAGCCCTGCACCCTGCACCATGGGTGTAGGACATAGATCCCACAGCACCTATGGGTGCTCGGAATGGGTCCTTGCAGTACTAGAGCACCCATGGGTGCAGGTTGTAGGTGCTACAGCACCCGTGGGTGCAGAATAGAGGCACCCAGGCTTGTGTAGGCAGAGGATTCAGGTACCCCAGCACCCATGGGTGCAGGATAGAGGCACCCAAGCACCTATTGCCACAGGCTATAGGGATCACAGCACCTGTGGGTGCAGGGTAGAACCACCCCAGCACCCATGGGTGCAGGACAGAGATTCTAGAGCACCCATGGGTGCAGGATAGAGTCGACTCTGCACCCTAGGCACACCCTAACACCCATGGGTGCAGGATAGAGGCACCCCAGCACCTACAGGCACAGGATATAGGGACCACAGCCCTGGTGGGTGCAGAGTAGAGCCACCTCAGCACCCACGGGTGCAGGATAGAGGCACCCCAGCACTACAGGCACAGGCTATAGGGACCACAACCCCTGTGGGTGCAGCCCTTCTGGTGCCACAACACCCATGGGTGCAGGATAGAGGCACCCAAGCACCTATTGCCACAGGCTATAGGGACCACAGCCCCGGTGGGTGCAGAGTAGAGCCACCTCAGCACCCACGGGTGCAGGACAGAGGCACCCCAGCACCTACAGGCACAGGATATAGGGATCACAGCACCTGTGGGTGCAGGGTAGAGCCACTCCAGCACCCATGGGTGCAGGATAGAGGCATCCCAGCACTACAGGCACAGGATATAGGGACCACAGCCCCGGTGGGTGCAGCCCTTCTGGTGCCACAACACCCATGGGTGCAGGACAGAGGCACCCCAGCACCTACAGGCACAGGATATAGGGACCACAGCCCCGATGGGTGCAGGGTAGAGCCACCCCAGCACCCATGGGTGCAGGATAGAGGCACCCAAGCACCTACAGGCAGAGAATATAGGGACCACAGCCCCAGTGGGTGCAGGGTAGAGCCACCTCAGCACCCACGGGTGCAGGATAGAGGCACCCCAGTGCTACAGGCACAGTCTATAGGGAACACAACCCCTGTGGGTGCATCCCTTCCGGTGCCACAGCACCCATGGGTGCCTTACCTCAGCCTTGAGCTCGTCGATGTGGTCCTTGAGCTGGCGGATGTACTGAGCGGCGTCCGAGTGGTTGAGCTGCCCCTGGATCATGCCCTCCTCCCTCTGCGGGCGCAGAGGTCATCCTGTCACCCTGTCCCCTCGTCCCCCTGTCCCCGTGTCCCCATGTCCCCATGTCCCCATGTCCCCCTGTCCACCCCCCACTCACCTGGATCTCCAGCTCAGCCACACGCTGTCGCATCTCAGCCAGGGCCGCCATGCTGTCGGCCTCACGCAGCCGCACCGCCATCACCTCCTCCTTGCTCTGGGGACGTTCGTGTCACCACCAAGGTAGGGGACACCCCCAGACACCCCCTCCCCACCCTCCTAACCTCCCCTTATTATCCCCAACCACCCCTGGGACACCAAGGGAGGGGACATGGGGACCACAGGGACCCCATGGGAGGGGACAGTTGGGACACCAAGGGAGGGGACGTGGGGACCCCAGGGACCCCATGGGAGGGGACAGTTGGGACACTGGGGACCCCTGGGACCCCATGGGAGGGGACAATTGGGACACTAAAAGAGGGGATGTAGGGACCCCAGGGACACCAAGGGGAGAACGTGGGGACCACAGGGATCCCATGGGAGGGGACAGTTGGGACACTGGGGACCCCTGGGACCCCATGGGAGGGGACAATTGGGACACTAAAAGAGGGGATGTGGGGACCACAGGGATCCCATGGGAGGGGACAACTGGGACACCAAGGGAGGGGATGTGGGGACCCCAAGGACACCATGGGAGGGGACACTGAGCTCCTGTGGGTAAGGATGATGGGATCCCATTGGAGGTGACAACTGGGACACTAAGGGAGGGGACACGGGAACCCCAGGGACCCCATGGGAGGGGACAGTTGGGACACTAAAGGAGGGGACATTGGGACCCCAGGGACACCATGGGAAGGGACAACTGGGACACCAAGGGAGGGCCTGTAGGTATCTGTGGGGAGGGGACAAGGGTGTCCACATGGAGGTGACAGTGTCACTATAGAGGGGACAGGAGTGTCACTATAGTGGGGACAGGAGTGTCCCTACTGGGGGGGACAGGGGTGTCCCTATGGAGGGGGACAGGGGTGGCCATAAGGAGGGGACAGGTGTCTCCCCATGGAGGGGACAGGGGTGTCCCCATGGAGGGGACAGGGTGTCTGTGGGGAGGGGACAGGGGTATCCCTACAGTGAGGACAGGAGTGTCACT